CTAGAACGCTTTACACCATGCTATTTAGTGCGCTAGCTAGTATACGATATGAGCTAGCGCGACAGAGTTCATGCGATCGCGCTAGATTGGATCACTAGCTGTCTAACTGCCTTTACACAATACAAATTTAGCACGCTAGTTCACCTAGCGCTCTGCAAATTGGATAATGTAATGGGGCTTTATAATGTTTGTTTTTGGTTTTTCAATAGTCAGTGGGTAGAATATATACAGTAATCTATGGTCTGCGGAGTGTATGTCAAGGCAAAAAAGCCTGATTATAGCATTTTTGTAGACAATAGACGAGATATCTTTGTTTTATTCAACGTGCAGTTCAAAAACAATGTTTACTGAAAAAAGAACATTTTGTCGTATTTGCTCAACTTCAGGGCATTCCTCTTACTGCCTCAGCCAGCATCGGAATCCTTGGCGTCGACATTTCGAGAGAAGTACAGTTCCACAATTACCTGGAAGGGAAGGCTAAATTGACATCAGTTTGGTGTGCTCAGTAGATTGAGACGGTATTTCATGCTGGCTCACAGCTGGTAGCTTTACATAAAGCGCAGCTACTACTTCATTTGGAATACTGCTCTCATCTCTGGGCTGACCAAGTTTTTTCCAATCTGCTTAATCCACTGGCCTTGCGAAGAGAAGTTGCACTTGTGTGCGGCTTCTAACGCATATACCACGGGGAGTGCTCTGAGGAATTGTTTGAATTAATTCCAACTTGAATTTTACTATCGTATAAAAGTTAAATTTACAGCGTATATACCTCCCACTCCTGGGCACGTGCCTCCGCTCATTTCTGAGAGGGTGTTAGGGCAAGGAAGTGTCCGCCGCGCTGCCCCTATGCGTGTTGGCGAACTTCACATGTCTTTGAAATATTTTTTTTCCTTATTTCCCAGACATACAGGTTTCCTCACGATGATTTCCTTAAATGCCGAGCACGTGGTAAATCAGCACTTAAAATTGCAATTAACAATTTCATTAGTGCCAGCAGGGATCGAATCCGGTTTGCTCGCGCACTGTGAAATTTACTGCGAGTGCTAACCATCTGAGCTACCACGGTTCCTACTATCTTATACTGCAACAGAACTCAAAATCCATCCTCATCATCTCAATGGCTGAATTTTCTGCATGACCATACTGTGGAATATAAAGTCGCCAGCGGTTTTACCGTATCAATACGACTGAGAAACCTTCAAAGTCAGAGCCTACTTCTTTTTAAAAGACCACACACTTGCAATCCCTCTGGTGTTGCAGATGTTCATTGGCGACGGATATCACTTACCATCAGATGAGCTATATGAACTCTTGCCTTCTCTTCCATAAAAAAGGTGAAATCGTAGATCATACTCAGAGTTGAAAGTAAAACACAACGTACTTACTATACACACTAAAAATGAATTACAGTCGAATTTCAACCACTGCACGATCACTGGTTTTTATTAATTGCGTAAAAATTACAGGATCTAAGTTAAAGATTGATTAAAAAAAAAAGAGAAAATAACATAATATGCATAAATGGCAGGCACAAGTATGGTTTACTGTTAACGTTATAGCCAATTAAAGTCCACGGCTGAACGTAGGCCTCCCCCATAGATTGCCTCATAGGGGGATATTTGGCATAGTTGGCACGTTTGGCAAGCGGGTTGGCAACCGCAGCTTTTTATTGTTTAGTCGTTATTAGGAAGACGCTGCTGCCATTCTGCTGCCTGTTTCCCTCTGTCGCCTCCTACGATATCCACGGGATGATATGGGGCAGTGGGTATTGTAACACCGCCACTGCACGGTAACTAGGTATGATTTACTTTGGCCAAATAAGACCTTGTAAAGTATCTACGTTTAATATTGGAGTGTACTATTTTCTAATTTGCTCTCGCATCAGGCCGATAGCGATTGTAGTGGTTCTAGAGATATCGTGGAATACCCTCTTAATATATATATATATATATATATATATATATATATATATATATAATATATTCCGGCCACGGCGGCCTGCCTCAACGGAGGCTAGCCATCGGCCCAGGACGGGATTATAGTGCCCAAGTGTATGCGTAAGCACAGGTGCACTCTCTATTCCCTCGCTCTCATAATCCTATGGGAAGTTAAACAGATACGACCGGAGAGAGATTAGACGCAGGACCAACGGCTTTACGTGCTTTCCGAGGCACGGGGGGTGAGACACCGCCAACTTGCTGACTCCGGGCAGCTACTGAGAATTTCTTGACGGAAAAACTCAATATTTGAATTTGTTGACCCGACCCGGGATTCAAACCCAGGACCTCATGATCAGCAGTCGCACTACTACAACCATTAGATCAACGAGGCAGATCGCTAGAATAACTCCCCCGATCTTATATAATAAAATATATATATAATATATATCATAAGGTTTTTATATAAGTGCTTATCGGTCCTATACGAAACGTGGTTCATCATAGGTTAATGATGAGTTTTGGTCACAAAATAATTTAGGTACATGATTTCTCTTTGGTAGACCCTTAGTTAAGGTGCCATATTCAGGTCAAAATCCATACTGCTTTTGCTGTCAAATTACATTTTTATTTGTATATTTTTCCACGAGACCTCTTCTTTGAAACAGACTATAGTTCATACGTGAGATTAATTATAAGATGTCTAAATATTGCAATTATTTCGCCAGAGTCTTCTCTAACACAATATGCTGCATTTTACATTCAATGAAAATATAAACAATCTAGATATGATTATTTCTTTGATTAAGACCGTTGGATCTGAATCACAAATTGTTTGGAAGTTAACGCAAGTGTGTACGGAAGACCTTACTCGTTTTTATTATCCGATGTAATATGTATTCTATAATATCAGAAGCTGTGTTACAGGTATAACCATAATGTATCAAGTATTCCAAAAACAACAATTTGGTTTTTGCCCGAATAAATTTTGTCTTCGGTTGAGATTTGAACACAGTGCCGAGGTGCAGTTGCAGAGGTCGTGAATTGGTAGATAAAGGCGATATAGATATTTAGTCCTTCCCGGACTCTTAATTCAAAAGTTTATAACATTTTTCTGTTTTGTATAGGAGTTCCGGTAGTGTTTTTAGTAACACTTTCTTAGTAATTGGGCACAAAATCTCATGATTTCTCTTTTTTTATAGGATAGGGTGACAAACGAGCACACAGTCCACCTGATGGTAAGTGGTTGCTGTGGCCCATAGACATCTACATTCTACATCTGTCCTCGATTACGAATCAAAATGCAGATGCGGTGTCACCCGTGAGGACTAAGATGGAACGCCTCGTTTCCAGCAAAATGATACACATGAGTTTTAAATTTAAAATAAAATTTAATTTTAAAAGACACTTTAAACGTGGTAGAGCCATGCTGCAGTTATATTAGTAGTTTAGTTGTAGCACGAGTGGGTCGGCTCGACCGGGGAAGGACCACGCTCTCACAGAATACCAGCGTGAAATAGTAGCTTAATGCTGCTGTATTTCGTATGGTGAGTGTAGAGAACCGGAGACCTGGGTCTCCGGTTCTCTACACTCACTCCGGTCCTCTACAATCAATTAGATTAAAAGCAAAAATAATCGTTAAAATAAAACATTTTTTCGGCTAAACCGTTTCCGAGAAATCGGTGAACATGCATAACAACATACGCGTCGATTAAATAACCTTCTCGTTTCTTTGAACTCGGTTATAGATAGTACGTATGTATATTTCAGTGTTCAATAGCTTCATTATATTTATAAAGCAAATTTCCAAACATCGTGTAGCCAAAAAAATTATCTGTTATATTTTTTACCACATTTGCGATGAACACAATACGATGCAATGATGACGATAATATCTTGTTTCATCTCAGAGAAGTCACGGTAATCCCCGTGTTAATTAGTTTAGTGTTAAAAATAAGTTTCTATTAAAGTGGGTGTTAAAGAAATAAAAACGAAAGAAGTCTACATCATTATACCTAGTTACTGCAAACCATAATATACACCTGAAACCAACTTTAAGCCTTAGATCAACAAAGAAAGAACGGCAACGCCGCTTACATTTCAGGTGACGCAATAACCAAGCCAAAACCATGCTCAGTTCATTGAAGAACATCCACTCACGTACACATAAGCATCTGAAATCATTTGCTACCAACAATATGGTTTTAGATGCGTACGTGTGCGTCAAGCAGTGATCTTTTATGGGTGGATAAAGAAGAACAAGTGATATTTTTTTAATTCTGTACTAAAAATATATATACCGCGTTTTTCATATGTTCTTATATATTCATATTCCTATATTATAAAAATTTCAAGACTCTGGCGCTGTCCTATTGCCATCGCCCGCACGATTATGCGATGCGATTTCATCGTCCGATGAATCCGCACGCGCGATTTCTTCAGTCGCATCGCATGATCGCACGACGTTCAGTAAGACATTCCGCAGATATGAGTATGTTTAAACGCACGGTTGCACGATCACGATTTTCGTCGGACGCAACGCATGATCGCGCGAGCAATGCCAATAGGACAGCGCCTCTCGCTCATCGCGAAGTGCTCGAAATTTGAGTTGCAATATTCTACACGGCATGACAGACAGACAAACAGCGAGCGGCTAACAGCGCGGTTATCGCTTTTCCAGTTTAATATGCAACTGCTTGTGATCGTACCAAAGAAATCGTAATAATAAAATAATAGAATAATAGGATGATGGAATTTGATAGAACGCGCAAAGGGCCGCTGCCTGGGGGTCGCCGGGGCGCGTCTGGAGCTGGCGCTGGACGTGACAGCATGCGAACCGCCAGCCGAGCGCGAGGTGCTGCTCGACCACCTAGTAGCCTCTCGCATCCATCATCCCCACCAGCAGGCTTGGTGACGGCAGGGTCTTCGCGGGCCCAGCAATCGGCACCCGCCACTGGTGGAATACGCCGCATGCGTTGGACAATCTCAATGAATAGCAACGCATTGCGGGCGTATTATAGGGCGATAGGGGGAGAAATTGGAGGTTTTGCGTATCGGGCAAGGATGCATCGACTTTTTGCTGAGCTGGAGCCATCTGTAACCGTCACCGAGCAAAACCTGGCAGACCGAGTTCGGTATATCTTGCGCTCAAATATATTTGATGACGCCGAACTCGAACGGCTACGACGTGAGGCTGTTCCCTCATCAAATGAAAATGCTATGGCTGAGGATGCGGTGCCACAAGTTGCAGAACAACCCACACACGTGGATGCCGCCGTGAATACCCCAGTGGTGGCTGATTCAAATGATGATGGAACATTCGCCCAGGCACTAGAAATAGAGCAAATGAGGAGCATTGGAAGAGGCGATTATGGAAACGCGCAGTACGCCTCTCGATAATCGACCGCGACTTCCCCGCATAGCCCTAAGCAAGCGGAATCGGGCTGTCGTGAGGGCTCTGAACCCAATGCTGGTGACCTATTTGGAAGCCAGCCGGACCGTAGACTTTTGCGATACGTACTCAATTCTTTTTAGCGCCGCGCTGGCAGTCTGCCGTATCATAGGCGCCAAGGTTTCCACGGCTGGACGCGCTACTGGCCAAAGTAGCGCTATCCCAGCATGGAGAAAAAGAATTGAGGAGCGTATCGCAAAGGCTAGAGCTCTCATCGGCAGACTGATATGCTTCAGATCAGGCAAGAACAGGCCAAGAATTATGCGCACCGTCAGGATGGCATTTGCTGGGACAAATGTCAGTTTGTCCCAGCCGGATATAATGCAAAAACTGACGGAGCGCCTAGATGATCTGAAGCTGCTTGGGGAAATCGCGGATTTGGCGATATACCGAGAGGTCGACTCGGTTCAACCAGAATCGTCTCTTCCAGAGTGACCAGAAGAGGCTCTATGAATCATTGGAGCGACCAATGGCACGTGGAACGGGTCCAGCACCGAATCAGACCGACACTGTAACATTCTGGCGCGGCCTGTGGTCAGAGCCCGTAAACCACAGCGAGGGCTCTTGGACGGAAGTTGTGGCGAGTCAGTGTGCGAGTATAACGCCCATGGACCCCGTCATTATAACGCCGGATGACGTAGCCGAGGCGGTCCGTAGGGCCCCGAACTGGAAAAGTCCGGGACTCGACGGGTTCCATCACTACTGGCTGAAGGGGTTTGTGGTGTGTCACACTGTGCTCGCCCGACAGTTCCAAGAGCCTCTCAACCAGAAGTCGCTACCGAGCCTCTTCACTACTGGGATCACTCATTTGGTTCCTAAAGACCAGGATACCACAGACCCGAGCAAATACCGCCCCATAACGTGTCTACCGACCATATACAAGACACTAACATCCATTTTGAGCGCGAGAATCACTCGTCACCTGGACTCAAATCAGGTGATGTCGCGCGCTCAAAATGGATGTCGGGGCGGTGGTCGTGGAACCAAGGAACCACTTCTCATTGACGTGGTCATTGGCAAAGTGGTGAAACGCAACCGTCGGAACTTCTCCGCCGCCTGGATAGACTACAGAAAGGCATTCGACTCGGTGCCCCATACATGGCTAAAGAGAGTCCTCGAGCTGTACAAGATAGACTGTACAGTTAGAGACTTCCTCGAGCAATGTATGGGGCAGTGGAGTACGATCCTTTGTCATCTTGGCGAGCGGATGATGGCTGCGGAAAGCCACATAAGGATAAGAAGGGGTATCTTCCAGGGCGATTGTCTGAATCCAATCTGGTTCTGCCTCTCTTTGAACCCTCTCAATACTTTACTGGAGGGCTCCGGGAGGGGTTTTCAGCTTCGGAAAGGAGGTACAAAAGTACCTTTTTTATATGGATGACCTCAAGTTATTCGCCTCCAGTCGCTCCCATCTTGGAATTGCTAAACATCACTTGTGAATTTAGCAATTCTATTGGAATGGATCTGGGGACGGATAAATGTGCGGTCCTCCATGTTGAAAGGGGAAGGGTTGCTAACTCTGAGGGCATAGACTTATCTATGCCCATCAGTTTAAGGACCCTTTCCGAGGCTGAAACATACCGATACCTGGGTGTGTCACAGAACATCGGTATCGATGAGGCTGGGATGAAACAGTCAGTTTGCGACGTGTTTTATGCACGCTTGACCAAATGTCAACATTGAAAATACTCAGGTGGACTCAGACTGAACTTAACGCCCTGGATAGAAAAGTCCGCACTACTATGACGTCCCATAGGATGCATCATCCGAGATGGTCGGTAACGAGGCTGTACTTGCCGTGAAAGTATGGTGGTCGTGGCTTTTTGAGCGCGCTCACCATGCATAATCGCGAAGTGTGCAGCCTCCGTAATTAGTTCCTGGTGAGATCGGATGATCCATTCAATAAGGACGTCATTTTTGTGATAAAGGACTTACCCCTCTATCCGTAGCCAACGAGCAATGGCAAGACCCGGCAGTGCAGAGCATTTCCGACCGGGAAACCGTATGGAAGGAGAAGGAGCTCCACGGGAGGTTCTACAAGACTCTACGTGAGCCTTTGGTAGACACAGTAGCCTCCCTCTACTGGCTACGCTTTGGTGACCTCTTCGGGGAAACCAAGGGTTTTGTCTGTACAATATAGGATCAGGTTATTAAGACAAACAACTATCGGAGATACATCCTAAAGGATGGCACCGTCGACATCTGTCGAGCATGTCGCCATCCCGGCGAATCACTTAGGCATGTCATCTCCGGTTGTTCGGCGCTTTCTAACTCTGAGTACTTGCACAGGCACAACTTAGTAGCCAGAATTCTCCACCAGGAGCTCGCTCTGAAATACGGTCTCGTGGACCGGAAATTGCCGTATTACAACTACTTGCCGGAACCCGTGCTCGAAAATGATCGCGCTAGGCTCTACTGGGACCGGGCCATCATCACAGACAGGACTATTCTTGCGAGTAAGCCTGATATTGTGCTGATGGACCGAGCACAGTCAAGGATATTTTCGGTCGACATTACCATTCCGTATGACGAGAACCTCGTGAAAGCCGAAACAGATAACGAACAAAATATCTGGACCTGGCTCACAAGGTGACCGATATGTGGGGCGGTCTGCCGACTGAAATTATTCCTGTAGTCGTTTCTGCAAACGGGTTAATCCCAGTCAGCCTCTCGGGTTATCTGAGGAGGCTGGGACTCCATGATGGACCGCTCCAGGCTCAAATGCAAAAGGCGGTGCTCCTCGATACCGCCCACATCGTCCGCCGGTTTCTCTCCCTTTCCGCCTAAACCCCGGCCGTTTGATCTCCCCTGCCGAGGGCCTCCATCTGGTTGGACTTTTATTTATTTATGTATTACTTATTTATTTGTGCTGGTATATGAAATATATATTTATGTATATTTATCATTTCCTTTTATATATTTATTCAGCCCAACCAGATCAGAATACACTACAAATAATAGAAGTCGCATAGACGCATGACCTTGTAGCCGCTATTATGTGTTGACGAACATGATTCACCATTTTGTGATTTAGTTGCGCGAGGAACGTCGTACGTGAATTTATGTTATTACAATGGTGAACTGTAGTTTAATAGTAAAAAAGTAGTAAAAACTCATCAAGGACGTGTAATTTAACTAATAAAGGCAAAACATTTCATCGGTAAGTTGATTATTTATTAATTATCATTGTTTTAACTAATTTACATCTAGATGAATACTTTACTATGATATTTACCTTTGTAAACTTTCATAAATTAATTTTTGTATTGATAATTACCATTGCTGCTTTTGTTCTACCGTAATACGCGACGTTGACAAATTCGCCAAGTAATGTAATGTGAAACATTAAATAGCATTGTGCATTGCGTGTTTTTATAATACGGCTGCAGATGGCAACATCGGTTTTGGAAGTAATCGAGTGCTAATTCTTTTCTATTGCCTTAGTATTACTATTTTTGTGGATCGTACGCACATTTCAACCGCGGCCGTTGAACGAAGAGCCGCGGCCCGCTTCATGGCTGGCCGCCATTTCGTTTAGTACGCACTGCCTGTTTAGTTGTGAAATTCAATAACGATAAGCTATTTGAAATTTTGTAGTAACATCGTATGAGAATAGAGATTTAAAACGGAAACAATGTAATGGATGAATCCAGTATCCTTTCTTACTTTTTTCGTTTGTTGTTTTCGGGACTAAAAATAGCTTACACAAGTTACCTTGATATAACCGCTTATCGCGGTTTTCTTCCGCCATGATGGTCAGCCGCTATTCCATCCGCGCCAGGCGGCTGGCCGCTCAAACGAACCGCCTAGGCAGCTAACTACTAGTGCGTAGGAGCGCTGATTAAAATCGTAGTAAAAGACGTTTCTGACGTTGAAACCATAAATAAGCTAAACAAACGTACATAAGTGCGCAGCGTTACGTCTATCTTATTATTCTTTGTTGGTCTGAGATATAAAGAGACTTTTAATTGAATAAAACTACGTTTACGGATTTTTATCACGTTTCATTTTACTAATTTATAATTCTCGACGTTTCGGGTGCTGTGCAGCACTGATGGTCAAGGATGACTGAGGTGATTAAACGTGATCAGGTGACGGAACGTCAGGAATTAAAAATAAATAGAATTAAACGCGATAAAAATCCATAAAAGTAGTTTTATTCAATGTGTAAGTGTTCGCGTAAATAAGATAAGAAAACTCCTAACTGCTTTAAAAAATCTATTAATTCTTAAGGGAAAGATGAAATGTCTCACAGCCTTCTATTCACCATACCCTTCACTGGAATTGTGTTAAATACTTAAGAAGATACACTACATTCATACACGCAGAAAATAGGGCTCTATTACTCACAGGAGACGGACTTCTGAACAAAAAAGAACAGCTAAAACGTAACATCTTAAAAATGGAGAACGTTTTCCCCAGTAATCTTAAGAAATAAATTATAAATCTAGACAAATCAGAATTTTTTACTTTTTTTACAACAAATTATTTTTAACACAAGGCTGTTTTTTTCTTGTCATTTAATTAATGTTTTGTTTTTATTTTCGTTATCTGTCGTAAAGTTTTTTATACTGTGTACCTATAGTACACAGTATAAAAACTTTGCTGATTTCCAAGAATATAAATTTCGTGAATTACATTTAAGGATTTCTGGTAGAAAAAAAATGCTTATTAACCTTAGCTCATCTCAGCTTTATTTGCTTTAAATAATTGTACTAACGCTTTATATATTATATAAGTGAAATACTACTGACTGACTGACTCTACACGAGATCTCTAACACTATACGTCCGATTGACTTGAAATTTAGTATATTTACTAATTTCGCAATGTAGACGTTCACTAATCACGGATTTTACGATAGTCGCATAAATACATTCTTAATATTTTGCATCAGGGTTTTGCAATAAAATATTATCAATATATATATATATATATAATATATAATATAAAAAATTATACATTGCAGCATAGCTCTACCACGTAAGTTGTTGCTTATAGATATAACGAGTTTATCTTATCTAATTACGGCTGTGTTTTCCTTTTCTATCTCCAACTGTAGCTGTTCTTGTAGTTCCTATTTTCTAGTGTCACATATTCATTCAAATATCATACTATCACCATTGACTTATATCTTACTAGCGTAAGGACCGGGCTGACCGAACAACTAAAACGGGCCGCTGGCCCTAAAATTACAGTTAAGGGCCAACGCGAATCGGAACGGTGCGCGCGCAGGACAGATTTGCCTGTCATAAATATGTCTATATTAATTTCGTTATAATTAAATTATTATATAAACGCATTTTTAAAGTTTCATTTTACAGTTAGTTTAGTTACTTTACCAAGATTAGGTCAGGGCTGGATTCAGACCTTCAAAAATATTTTACATGGAAAATAAAATTATACTATTTTAAAAAAATTATATCACGTTTGAC